ATAAAGTATTTACTATAGCTACTAATTACCTAAGTACTAGTAGCCTTAAGAACTTTACTTACTATAAAGCTAAGAAGCTAAAAAGGCTTATAAAAAAAGAAAATAAAAATATAACTAAAAGGCTATAAAAGAATATTACTTAGTTACTATAAATTATAGTATTATAAAAGGTTATAAAGGTAGTAATATAGTATAGCTATTAAAAAGTTATTAATTAAAGTTATTAAATAACTTTAAGAAAAATTATATATATACTATAGTAAAAAGGTTAAATTATTAAAAGTTCTATTAATTAAGTTATTTAGGCTAGAAAAGTTAAAGTATTAATAATTTTACTAAGGTAAGTTATATCTAGGCTAGTAACTGGAAGCTTTAAAAGCTAAGAGAATATAAGCTAATTAAGTTTATAAGATTAATATATGATAATTTTTAACACGATGAGATAGCCACGTACGGTGGAGGTTGTTCTAAAGAAACATGGATAATTTCGCACTCGATCATCGTCTTCCTCTCTGGCAAGATTCTAACCAATCTAATGGATGCATCCTCAATTGGTCTGTACTGATAAGACAACTCGCTAAACGAAGAAGCAGCCTGTTGGTTTTGGAGTAGCTTGGGGCTTGGGCTGAGGGCAGCTTTCGGAGTAGGTGGAGATAGTGGGGGTAAGACATTGTAATCGTAGGGATATGGCATGAATTTATTGTTATAGCTTGTCTCTGGAATTACCGCGTATTGCTGATTTGGCGCATGCGGTGGAGGGACGTCGTATGGGCGACCTTTGCCTTTGCCTTTGCCCAGCCTGAGGGGCGGCAGGGAAGGGACCCGTGCTTCTGCTGACACCTGCGGCATGGCCACAGGATGGACTTTGAGCTACTTGAACTGTAAGTAGGGGCTAGGACCGGAAACCGGCCACTTTAGTCGCTTTGTGTCCACTTTCAGTTGTTTGAAGTTGGCAAGTTGAGCGGTTTCAGCTGAACTCGTGGTTGTGAGCCTTGGAGTCAGCCTGTGGCTTGCAACCGCTGCACCCTATCAGATGGCCTGAAAAGGTCTTTGGCCTAAACAAGAATAGCGTCAGGTTATCCTCAAGTAACTATAGTAAGTTAGAGGATAAATTGGAAATGGGAAACATATCCCATTAATTCTTTCAATACTTCTTAGCCTTCTCACATCTCGGGCTGGTATAGAAAGCTATCTACATCGAGCTGTTCTGCCAGGTCCAACAACTCTCCCGGCGTCAGTCCTGCCATGGCATTAGCCGCAAAGAGGTCCCATCCTGTCTCATCAGAGACATGTTCCTGTAGCTCTTGTTCCCTGGTCTCCTCTTCCTGGACATTAACATGCTCTTCTACCTGGCTGGGTACTTCTGGCGTTGCGATATTACTAGCCGGTGTCAGAGCAGATAATTTGTGTTCCAGCTGCTCAAGCTCTACTTTGCGCAAAGGGGCGATAAGACTGCCTTTCGCAATCAGAGTGTCAAAGACGTAACGAACATCATCACGCCATGAATCATCCGAAAGAAGAGATGGGCAGATTATAGGGATGAGATGGAGAAGAAACGCTGACGATGAGGCATACTCTATTTGGAAAGGCAGAAACGCCTCTGCGACAATCAATCAGCTTCAGAATTGATTCTTTACATCGATTGTACTTACCAATGAGATCCTCATCTGCCAAGGCACGAAGCGTCTTCAAAATTGCCTGCGCTGAGCTAACGCATGACTGGATAAGCGATGCAACCGGGGGAGATAGTGATAGGCCACTGGTCATAAGCTGCGTCTTTGACTGTTCGATGTGCATATGCAAAGCGCACATTATCTGCGGTCTCGTTGTGAGTACAACGCACTGAAAAGAGATCAGTCCAAAAGCTTCCAGTTCGGCACTGCGCCCTGAAACCTACATGGTGATACTGGAGCAGAAGTCTTGTTGCAATTCGTGACGCTTTGCTGATGGAGTCTCGGAAATGGTTGTTGATGATGTTGTTCAGGTCGCGATTTAATTCAGCCAAGTTGCGTAGGATAGACTGCGTGTTACTAAACAGGGTGCCATCGTAATCTTTGCCAACGCCGTATACCGCTTCAACAATGTTAGCCGCGATTTCATGGTGGATTTCGTGGGAGGATGACACTTACTACCCAGTAATCGGGCTATTAACCGAGCGAGCTGAACATGGAGGGTCAGACTGAGTGAGCTCAACGAGCTGTCCGCCTGAGAAGGTAGCTTATTGGTGATATCCTCGTCTCGAATCGCACTTGTTGCACCTATCAGTGCAGCAAACTCTTGATCCAGCATATAGACTACCCAGAATATGATGTGGCATCGCTTAGAGTGTTGAGCACCAACGGCTTCTTCCGGCATATGTCTGTGGAATCCTGACAGAACACATATACGGAGAGCTTGTCCGATGTGTTGGTATGCTGCTACTCGCATGTCAATCGACTGAAAGTAGATAGCAGCCAGTGTGAGTGCTTGCGCGGAGAGAACAGGATCAAGAGCTATGCCTGCCAATTCGGGCATCAGTGGCATCGCCCGTGCAGCGTATTGATACCCCGCTGGACTCCCATCAGCACTCCTCCCGCCAAGAAAAGCTTTGCCGAACGCTATCATGAGTAAATATTGCGCATACCACAGCCTACACGATGCCGCTTTAGCTGAAGCATCTTGATAAAGCTCTTTAAAGTGCTGAAGAAACTCGACCTCGTCTATCAAACTCGCCAAAGGACCAAGATAGAACCTCGCAGTCTGAATGAGGAAATATGCATAGTCTGACGGAGGGAGGTTGGAGATATCTGGTGGCTCATCTGGCATAAGTGGTCTCCACTGTAGTCGGAAGGCTACTCCGTCGAGGTGCCAGGGTAGAGGCTCGTTATTTGTTTCGGGGAGATGCTTGCCTACTAGGGCTAGAACTCTTCGGCAGAAGGCCCATGATGATGCGGGACCCATGTACCCTGTGGAGATCTGTTAGTATATGCCGATGATCGACGAAGGGAACTTACAATATCTCCCCATAGCTTGGCCAAAGACATAGTCATTGTCGACGAGGGGGTTTTGTCGGAATGCGGGCTCGAGGACATCGTTGGCAGATAGAGAGGCAGCCTCGTTTGTTTCGTCGTTCTCGGCATGATCTTGAGGTGTTCCGAGAGTAAGGTCTTTCGTTACCACGTTAGTCAAGGTAACAGACTGCTGGCTGGTCACTCACCTCCATCTGCAACGATGGATGCGCCCCGCGTGACGACACCGGAAATACCATAATCAGAAACAGAAGAGTGTCTCGGTCGTGGTCTACTTCCATCACCAAGAGACCCTGGCGATGGAAGGCCATCTTGTCGCCTCTCCAAGGCACGGAGATAGCTATCCCAACAATTAGTCACAGCGACGTACGAGAAAGCAATCAGACTCACCTCTCAGGCACTGATACCTTCTTCTCCTCCGCCTCATAAATGCATCTCTCGTTCTTCCGTCCACATCGCAAACAAGGCTGCGCCCCCGAACACTTGACCTTCATAGACCGACATCGCTTACACCTACCCAACAACCACGACGATCAGCAATCGGCTTCCAACGGCCCAGATAAGAACTCACGCTTTAGCACATTTCTTGATAATCCGGAATTGGCCATTCTGTGTAGCTGGCATCGTTGCGCAGTTGACAATGGCTGATGAGGAGAGGTCGGGGTGCTGTTCCGACTTAAGTCTTTTAGCTGGAATGTCATTCCGGCTTGGGTCTTTGCCTAATACGGTAGCGTTCGTGGGAAAAAGCTTATCAGCGGCTTTGGAGGATTGAGCTGCGTTATCGGCTACGTAGTGAAGCGGTCGGAATGAGATCCCGATAGTGCAAGCTTATCACGCGGGGATCGTTAGTGTCGTATATCGGTATAACAATCCCGACTTTTCCACTTGGGATCTGCGTGCGTTGGTGTAAGTTGACTGCCGGGTTCAGTGCTTCTGGAAGAGATCCCTATTCCTAGAATTGGTCAATGCTTTGATCTCAGAACTGTCGTGATGACCAGGGTTTTGACTTCGTTTCGGTCTGCAATTGCATCAAGGTCAGTAAGAACGACATGTCGGCTTTGATCATATCGTTCGGACACAAAGTATCTGACCCTCCAATCTAGACCATCAACACTGATAACAAACACACCCTCGACAATGCGACTGAACTCGTCAGCTGCAGCTGCAGCTAAGCCTGCATTCTCAGCAGTGCAACCAATCACCAACTTTAAAGAAACGATAGCCAACAGACCAGACTTTGATCACTCCAACAAACCTATCGAGATAACAAAGTCCCCAGACCCATCCTGGTCTTATGGAGATGGTGTCCGCACTGGTCAATCCCCCACTGACAAGATCCACCGAGAGATCGACCCATACTCGCCTGACAGATCCGTCGGGCAGAACTACCGACTTTTGATTTCTGGCATTGCCCCTCGACCTGTTGGGTTCATCAGCACTGTTTCCAGCGATGGCCAAGTCAAGAATTTGGCGCCTTTCAGCTATTTCCAGGTCGTTGATCATGACCCGCCCATGTTCATTGTTAGCTTCTCATCTCGCTTTGGGTCGGCTAAAGATACTTATCAGAATTTAAAAGATACTGGGGAGTGTGTTATCAATACTGTTTCGGAGAATATGATAGAGGCAGTCAATGCTTCGTCAATTGATGCACCATATGGAGTGTCGGAATGGGAAATTACAGGCTTGACCGAAGCACCAACCACGACTGTCAAACCATCCCGTGTTAAAGAATCGGTACTTTCTATTGAAGGACAGGTCGTGGATATCAAAGAATTCGAGAGCCATAAGCCTGGAATGAGCAATTATGGAATGGTTCTCATCAAGGCGACGCGGTTCTGGGTACAAGAAGATGCTGCTAATGAGGATTTTAGTCACATTGACCTCGACAAGCTACGGCCCATCGGTCAACTGGGTGGCATGTCGTACGGGCGGATATCTTCGACTTTCGAGCTTCCGAGAACAAGATGGGCGGATGAGCAACCTAAAAGTGAACTGTTGACCAAGCTGGAGAAAGAAAAGGCGTCATAGCGAGGCGTGTCCAGTTTACTTCACTGTAGAGCTTTGTCCCATATATATCAACATTTATTCAGCTTTCATCATGGTTTGGTGTGAATTTCCACAAATTTCCATTTGTATTTCTGTCTATCCTCAACCCAGTATCCTACGTCGAAGCTCCTGTCTCATCGCCTGCGCCATATGCTGCGTCCTCTCAACAGCACCACGATTCTCCACCGCTCGTCGGTACAAATAATTGATACACTCCTGCACCGAGCCCCAAGGTAAGCACTTATAAATCTTTGGTGTCTCAGCAGTGACTCTGTTCTCCTTGACAGCTTGCTCGTAATCCTGTAGAAGTTTACAACTCAACTCATCGGCCATGCCCATGATCTGAGCACACTTCATAGGTACTGTGGGAAGTCCAGCCTCAAGGCGCTTTCTGTGTGTGCTGAGAGCCTTTTGCGCACTCTCGGCGTTATGCGTCGCCAGAACGAGTGCCGCGTCTGGAAAGTTGAGGTTGGCAGCTCCATCGGGCACTCTTCGAGAAATTAGCATGTCTGCAATATCGTTATATGAGCTGTCCGTATCCTCTTTTGTATCGTGGATTAGAGATCGGATCTCATTCTCGATATATGCGCCACGAACTAGCTTGATACCGACAGTCCAGCCCTCTTGGGCTGCTAGTTTGATATGCCTTTTCGCATTTTGTCTAGCGCCTTTGAGATAAGCTTGGATAGTGTTGTAAACCAGAGCATTCCCGTCCCGGTTGTGTTCTCGCATGAGTGTGATGGTCCAGTCGTCGAGGGTAGGTTGCATGGCTTGTTGTTCTGCATCTATCCAGAGTTGACATCCGCGCCTTCGAGTTTCGTTGCAGATATCGTTGAGAGCTTTGTGGAGATAGCTATTCATAGGGCGACCTGCTTGTAAGGCGTCGACAGCTATAGGCCCGGCGCCAGTAACTCTGGGCTCTATAAGTTTGTGGTTATGTCGATAGTGAATCTAGACTTACTTGACCGCAAGAAGATCGCCAGCCTCAATCATTTTCAGTGTCTCAATGTTGCCATTCTTCCACTCATCAATCATCCTGTAGCATTCCACGGGGTAGTCCTCAATGCCTGTTGTTGGAAGCTTCACGTTGGGATCCAATACGACATCTTTCGAGTACCCAAGAATAATGCCGTGGAAGCCAAGGTTCTTGATGTACTTGACAGTATTTGACACTTCGGGAATGCTGTTCCCAGCGCAAAAGTGGTCATAAATAGTCCACTGAAGAATGCGACTGAGCACTGGGTTCTTATCGGGGTTGAGAATGACCGCGTTGGACTGTGTGATAAGCGCCATAAATGTAAGTGACGGCCGTAGTAGCCACTTGTTGGCCATTACTGTTGTTAAGGCGACGGAACGGAGTAAGACTCCCATGGGTATCTTGGAAAGAGGTGATGGTTCCTCCACCAGGGGTGCCTGAATGGGCTTCAAAGAGGTTCTCAGCGTTGCATTGGTAAATGTTCTAATTTGCGGCTGGATGTGAAACCGAGACAAAGGCAATAGACACTTTTTATTTTGTATGGCGGTTCTGGAAAGCATGTTGAAGTGAGTATAATTGATGTCCCGACGGTGATGAAAGGCTCCTAGCTTATCAGAAGATGGCCGTAGCTTTCATATATTCCCATAGAAGTGTTAGTGTTACCGTCCGTCACTCCCCCACCCACCACCATTATCCAACACTAATCTATGTTACGACGCATATGAACAAAGCCGGAACCAGTCGCCGATGGTACTATTCCAATCTTGCAACCTTGAGAACAAGCCCCGCATGATCCAACAGACTGCCCTTCCGCACAGAATGCGTTGCGTTATGCGGAAAAGGTCACGAGGACGTGATATTGTACTCATGCAGATCTCACTGATAAGTGCCCTGACCAATCGTTCCAGAAGGTGGAGAATCGATTACGAGCTGTATTCTTCCGCATATGCAGGTGTTACCTGACTTGTCAAGTGGAGTGTCGGGACGAGATATGCAGTCGGGGTAGCATCCCGACTTCTCTTGGCCTGCTCGGTGCATCTGGACTTATAAAACGATTGACTGCGAGATGGATATAGATTCTTACCGCACGTCACCACAACATCTCGTCGCTCGCTGTAACTTCGGTAGCCTATCATGTTTAGATCTCTTAGCTCTCAGCATCGGCCTCTCGCTCGGCTTGGTGCTTTCCACCAGCAAAAGGCCAAAGTTCTGTTAGCCAGCCGACGTTTGAGTCTGTGGAACCCACCAAAATTTGAGAATGAGAAAATGGTAAGTCGCGTTGAATATTAAATTTCTTCTTACTGACATTGCACTCTAGTTCGACTATGCCAAGGGCTCTCCAGAACGAGCCCAACTCACAGAAAGCATCAAGAAGCTCAAAAGCTCATTCCCTGTCAAGATTCCCATTCAAATCAGCGGCGTCGAGGTGAGAAACTCGTGCTCCCAGAAATAATATAATACTCATATCAGTCCAGGTCACTAGCAAACAAATTCTGAAGCAGCAAAACCCATCAAACCACAAAGAAGTCGTGGCAGAATACGCAACCGCCACGCCTGAGCATGTCAACGCAGCTATAGACGCTGCTCTCAAGGCTAAGCCTGCTTGGGAAGCTCTGCCCTTTGAAGATCGTGCAGCCATTTTCCTACGTGCAGCTGAGTTGGTGACTGGTAAATATCGCTCTGATATCGTCGCTGCAACCATGCTCGGCATGGGAAAGAATATCTGGCAGGCTGAGATTGATGCCCCAGCCGAGACAGCAGACTTCTTCCGTCATTATATCGACGAGGCATGGAAGCTGTATGCTCAGCAACCAAAAGTACAGACACCAGGTGTATGGAACAAGATGGAGTATAGACCATTAGAGGGATTTGTATATGCGGTGTCACCCTTCAACTTCACTGCTCTTGGTGCCACGCTTGTCGGACCAGCTGCCTTACTAGGAAATGTTGTGGTTTGGAAGCCTTCTGACTCGGCCATACATGCCAGTTGGCTTCTATATCAGATCCTTCTTGAAGCCGGTCTTCCAAAAGACGTCATCCAGTTCTTGCCAGGCGAGCCAAATGAGGTCACTGATGCAGTTCTAAAGAGGCCTGAGTTCGGCGCTCTAACCTTCATCGGCTCAACCAAGGTCTTCAAGGGATTGCAGAAGAAGATCGGCAATGGCATTGGGGATGAGATATACAACTCGTATCCCCGTGTTGTCGGAGAGACTGGTGGCAAAAACTGGGGTATTGTTCATCCAACTGCAGACGTGAAGAGTGCTGCGCTCAACACTGTTAGAGCTGCATTTGAGTACCAAGGACAGAAGTGCTCCGCCAACTCCCGTGTCTACGTCGCGGCGTCAGTGTGGCCCGAGTTCAAGAAACACCTTCAGGAGCAGGTATCTGCTCTCAAGGTCGGGGACGTCGAGAACTACGAGAACTTCATCAACCCGGTCATTCACGAGGCCTCGTTTGACAAGCTGAACAAGATCATCGAAGATGCCAAAAATGATAAGGACCTGGAACTTGTCGTTGGTGGTAAGGCTTCCAAGGACAAGGGATACTACGTCTACCCAACAGTCTACCAGACCACCAACCCCCGCCATGAAATCATGACACAAGAGCTTTTCGGTCCTATCCTCGGCATCTACGTCTTTCCAGATAATGAGTGGGAGGAGACCTTGAAGCTTCTTGACACAACGTCGAGATATGCCCTGACAGGTAGCATCTTCGCGAAAGACCCCTACGTGCTACGCCATGCTCAGAACGCTTTGAAGCACGCTGCTGGCATGCTATATCTCAACACAAAGTGTACTGGTGCAGTGGTAGCTCAGCAACCGTTTGGCGGCTCTCGTGATTCGGGTACTAATGACAAGACTGGGACTATGGCCCATTTGCAGAGGTTTGTGAGCACGAGAACGATAAAGGAAGAGTTTGTGCCGTTGGAGAAAGTTCTATACCCCTCCAACGAATGAGATTTTGTTAGCTATGATAGAACATTGGCCAAGTCCTAGCTCAATGTAAAGGTTTCCAGGTTCACTCCCCGGCTCTTAAGCGCTTCTGGCTCCAACCGTGGATCAGAGTCTACAATCCTGCCATCTTCCATATTCCGGAAGAAGTCATACACTTCCGGGTCATCACCTGTAAGGTCTCGCCCCAGCTCCTCCAGTGAAACGCGCTGCCATTCCACAAGAGGCTCCAGTCTAGGATCTTCTGCTGTCAGCTCTCCTGTTTCAGGGTTATGATAGCGGGTGTAAGACCGGTGTGCTATACCGGGATCAGAGAATAGTTGGGCCTGCCACGGGGACGGAAGAGGGCCTAGCAAGCCTTGCGTAGCTTCTAGATCCCATACATAGCAGTCACTCAGAAACTTCCAGGTGTTATCCTCACATGGATGGAGGAGTACGGGAAAGTCGCAACCGAGGACGACGCAAATCACATCACCTGATGCTATTAGCATGAGTCCCGAGTATCATGGTTTCTCACGTACCTGGCTTTGCAAAAGTACAGGCTAAACCAATACTACCCCTCTCTGTCGTGACCATTGCTCTACCTGTGGAACGTGTCCAGATGACAAATTCAATCAAGTCTCCGCGACTCAGCTTGGACAACGGTTTTAAGGCTGTCGAGAGAAACTCAAATTCGAACCTATCCTTAATATGTTCAAGTGTAAATTCTCTGGTAGGGCGCCGTTCAATTCGTACGTGTTGAAGTAAAGTGGCTGCAAATGCATCTAGATAGGTGCCTCCACCAGGATAAGGGTCTGCGAGAGAACATTCAGGTTCCCAAGATCTGACGGTGCGAATTGCTGTTTCTCCATCATCCCAAGAACCAAAAGTCTTCCCAGAAACAGACTTCACCGTGTCGAATTTTAACCCAACCACCTTTAGCAAATTGGGCGCTTGGTGCTCATAGTGTAGTGCAGAACATCCAACGGCGAAGTGCTCTGACACTTTCCAAACATATGGATCTGCTTGAGAAAGATCAGGTACCCAAGAGGGCCGATCATCCTCATTGGGGTTTCGAGGGCAGCCACGCAGCTCCCAGCGACTAAGAGTTTTTATACTCGCCAGAAAGCAGGACTTGTATAGCTCGAAGACAGGCTGCTCATAATCCGGCTTGATCTCGCACGCAAATCTCGGCGGTAGAATAGCCAGTAGTGCGTATATCTTGTCGTGGGAGTCGGAACAAATCCGGTCTTGATATGCGTCTAGAGTATGCGCCAGTGTTGCTCCGATTGGATTTCTCGCCATGCCGTACATGGCGTAGACGGCTTCTCGAGGTACTGGCATCTTGCTTTTTTCCAGAAGGTTTAAAGCTGCACGACGGAATAAAGGCAATGTTATAATAGCGTTGCCACTCTGGACTATGGAATCGCGATTCGCCATGATAGCCTCTTGAACAGTCCAAACGCGGTGAAACCAAGACCGTTCTCCGAGCCTTTTCATAGCTGACCATACCTCGTCGGAAAAGGAGATGTGAGCATCTCTGTCCAACAAACTGGGGTTGGTTGCACCCGGGGTTGACATTATAAACCCGTTTATTGTACTCTCAGCCTGGGACCCAATATGAGCTAATTCAGAGAAAAGCAGCCCTATGTCGTGCTTTTCGGGGCCAAGCCAGATGATGACTCGGCTGCAGTCCTGGTAGATACTTGACATCCGAAGGACTTGGGTAGCCCTTTCGACATCGTCGTTCTGGTTGATGCAGATGGCATCCACCCACAGCACGCGCTCTTTATCCTTGTATCTCAGGTGTCTGAGAGCCGCAGCTAGGTTTTCCCCAAGCTTTATATTTCCCAGACAGCCACCTAACTTTCCCTCAATGGTAGCGACCACAGGGTCACGCTGCTGACCCCAGACGTAGGATAGAGCTTCGAAGGGGGGTTGTGCAGGGTTTACAGGCGGAAGCTCGTACAGTTCTGGGTCTACGTCTTGGTCTGGGTGATTCCAAGTATGGACGATTCTCCTTCTTCCATCACTCCTCACACTGTCCTCAGTTGATGCGTCGTCAGGCTCGCCCTTAAAGATGAATCTACCTTCGATTGTTTCAAAGACTTCCCATCCTGAAGGAAGCGTTCTTTGCAGATCTTTTCGCGATAAGCGCAGCGGGCTAGGCTTCTCCGGCTGCCTCAGAAGTTCATGTGAGATTCGTAGTCGAATATGCTCGCCAGGCTCGCCAGGCAGTAGATGAATCAACCTGATATGGAGTGGCGACTCGAGTGCCATGTATCTGTAAGGCTGGTCTCGATCAGCCTCAGATTGCGGTCCAGTCATTTCTAATTTCGATTTGAGATAATTCTGATACAAAACTTCTTTGTTAAAGCGGATGAAGAGAGAGTGGTACTATAGAAGTGAGAAAATAAGCCTAAGTTGGTTGCGGCTGAAAGATGAGCGGTTATACCACCAATCAGAGATACGGCTGTCCACAGGTAGTCCCCGCTTGACCATCGTGTTTTATACACTTTTAAACATGCTTTTCGACCTTTCCCACAAGACCTTCCAACATTCTCTGGGCCCATTCAAGGTCTCGAGCTTCGCCTGACCACCTATTTACTGTCCATCTCGCAATTTCTAATGCCTCTTTCCAGCCTGAAGGGGGCGATATTCGACCACTTTTAGCCACAGCCAGCAGGATCAAAGCTTTGGTCACGCAGGAACGTGCAATATACCACGTTCCGTGATGTCGGTTATGTCCATAAGTTCGGAAGAGATGCTCTACGCACAGCTCGAGACATCTCTGCGCCAGTGGGATAGCTCGACCGTAGTGTTCATCTTCTGGAGACGTGTGAAGTACGTAGAAGAGCAAGGGGCGGTGTATCCATTCTCGACAGGATAGTTCACGGTTCTTCAAGAATTGTGCTAGCTCGTTGTTGGCGTGGACTGCGTTCTTGGGGTCGATTTGAGGTAGAATGTAAGAATACCTAGCACATGTTAGCGAGATTTCCTGTTCTTAAACGAATGACCTACCAAAGATCTATTTGTTCGTTGAACTCTTTGCAATGCTCCATGGCTTCAGAGATGTTATTACTCCAACCTTGCTCTCCGCTCCGGGCCATTACAGCCATGGCTCGGTTCATCATCCTTCGATAAGAAATCTCTGCCAAGTAATAGAACCAACTCTTCTCTTCTTCGGAAACAATATCGTCATCGAAAGTGTCACCCCGATCATAGGCCGATGGAGAGGTCAGTTCTGTTGGTGGTGATGGAAACATGTCTGGATAGTCGCACTGCGTAATGCCACTTGGTGGTAACGGTATCTCGTACCGCAATTCACTGTAGCGAACTTGTGAATCTAGGTCAATTAAAGAGAAAGGCTGGCTTCACTTACTATTCCGTTTTGACACAAGACCAATACAGTCTTTGTTCAAGTCGGCGAATTTCTTGCGTGGTTGCCTGGTCCGACTTTTTCTGACTGCGGGCCCAGAGGATATTTCGTAAATCGACGCAGGCTCGATTGAAGTGGAACCAAGCTTGCAGTGGGTGAAGGCAGTACATCTCATATATACCACAGAGAAATAGGCACTGTATATATAAGAGTGATGGCTGAAGCAGTCCAAGTCGTTTCTTTGCGGCAAGATAGTATGATGCAGCGGTTTCCGGGTCTATAACAGTGGTTGGCGATGAGCGCGTCGAGGCAGGAGAGCCGTCAACATCTGCCTCGGTGTGAAAGGGCACCGACAAGCATGCTATGGCGCAAGATATCAACTTAAGATAATTAGTATCCTTCAATGAGGCTAATAGGGTGAATGCTTACTACCAAACAGGACGCACCATCCCATCTTGGTCCATTCTCAGCTGCTTCTCTGACCTTGTTCTTATAATCCTTGACATCCAGGATCGGGTTTTTGACGTGTACATATGCCAGAAATCGTTTTGAAAGAGGAATAAATTCCTCCTCCTGGACGCCTCTTCCACCTGAGACGCGGGCATCGCTGGGCCCTGCTTCTACGTCTTCATTTAGCTCTAGCACAAAAGAGTTGACTTCAGGCACCAGGTCTCGAAATATAGGCCACCGCATACTACTCTCACAGTTATTAGATTCTGAAGGAAAGTCAGGGCGTTCGAGGACCTGCAGTACGTCATCTTCAGGGACAAGAGTCGTCAAGTCTCTGGATGCGTGTATTGGAGCAACACGCAATGGCTGGGTGATACTAGCAGGCCTTCTAGGTATATCAGATGCTTCATGCGGTGAATCGTAAGACCCTGTCTCATTTACAAGTACTGCTAAAGGTCGAGACTCAAGAAGAGAAACGACATGATTGAGCCGATCCAGAATGGTCAAACTGGCAGGATCGTAGCTATCCAGTACATCAGTCAGAGCACAACAGTCATGAATCTACTACTAACCTTGAGTAATCGCTGTCAGGGCCAGAGCCAGGATAGACACACTGAGCACCGCTCCTCGAGCAGAATCCACAGACTGGTCGAACATTGTCACACTTGGTGTTCCTCAATCGACACGATTGGCAAGCTGTCACGGCGCGTTTGCGGTGGTACATGGCTGCCGTGCGTTGTCGCTTATTGCCCTGCCCCTGCTGATCCGAGAAGCTGGTACCGCCTTGGCTGATCATTGCGGAGTGAGGTAGTGAAAAGATCTTGCATAAGGTAGATGGAATGTCGGGGAGTAGCGGAGATCTTAAGTTTGTGGTGATAGACTTTAGTGCAGATTTGGTCTCGTGGAGTAGCGGAGACTAAGTCTGATTGAGTAGTGTTAGTGTGAACTGTTGCTTGAATGCGGGGAATCGTACCCTATATTCCTCTACACTATCTTGCAGGCGATAGAAGTGCTTCACTTAGGTCTCAGCCTATGGCATTTTTGAATCATGGGTGGCTAGGTGTTCAATTTTGTGATATTTTGTCGAGAAATCTCAGCTCTTCTAATTCTGTTTTAACTCTGGGTTCGGGGAATCGGGAGTTTATTAGAAATAAAGGGAGGGTAACATTTTGAGTAAAGGCTTCGACCTTGTTTAATATTGTTATCTACGGATATAAATTGTTGTTTTATCTAGTCCTGAGGGAATTTGGCACCGCCCTGTCTTCTAACCTCGTCCATAATCTCCATGACGCGAATAGTCTCAGCCCACGGCATAGTATCACTCTCGACCTTGCCAGCAGCAATATCAAGAGCCACCGCATCAGCCTCCCAGTAAAATCCCTTGCCAGTTCTCTCAAACTCATACTTCTTTCCCTCAGCCCCTCCGTCCTTGTAAACAGTAAATTTCGCAGGGACTGAGCCCGCAAAGCCTTCTACAATGATATGGCCCTTGGTACCTTCGACACGGCAGAAAGCCTCTGGTGTTTTGACTTTTGAGTTGGAGGTCAATATACCCTGCTTTCCATCGGGGTATAAGAGGATGATCGAAGTGCCAATGTCAATACCATCGACCAGAGTTTGAGCGGCCGTGATCTTCGGTGCAGTGGCCTTTTCGCCTACACCTGCATCGAGGGTCACAAGGCCCCAGGTCAGGCTGTAGATGCCAATATCTAACAGACTGCCAGCACCAAGAGATAGGTCTTTCAGTCGTGACTCGGGACCCTTTGATTCAATGTTCTGGTTCATGGCAAAGTCTGCAAATACACGAACTACATCGCCAACAGCCTTGTCTCATGGATGATCTTCTGGAGAGATTTAACCAGAGGAAAGAAGCGAGTCCACATTGCCTCCATGATAAACACGCCCTTCTTCTTGGCTGCATCCAGAACCTCTCTTGCCTCTCTAGCATTGAGAGTAAAAGCCTTCTCGCATAGCACGTGTTTCCCGTGCGAAATAGCATCGAGACAGTTCTTCTTGTGGAAGCCATGGGGAGTTCCGATGTAGATGATATCAACATTGGGGTCTTGGTAAGCCTGATTATAGCTTCCATAAATGGATGGAAGGTCAGTCTGTTCTGGCATATGTGTCTCAACAAACTTTGTCCCCTTTTCAACGGAAGATGATCCAATGGCTTGAATATGATGTGTTGCTTGAGCATTCTCGCTCGATGAGGAGATCCTGGATAAACCATGATGAGATCAGGCCAGTGCCGATGATGCCCCATCGCAGAGTTGGCTTTGACTGAGACATAGTGATGAATGTTATGGAAGAGATGAAAAAAGATGCATGAAAGAAAAAGACTATTAGAAGTGGGAAGGACGGAGGTTGAAGGGTAATAAACGAAGGCATCGAGATTCACATCATCCATCAACTTCGGCTAAATGATGTCCGAGATGGAGTAACTTCTCCGCTGTCTAGCGTAACTCCGCTACTCCCCGACTACAACCTCATCCACTCCGGCATAATAACGGGAAATCCCCTGGTCCTGGTCCTTGTCATGGTCCGGTCAATAAGCTTAATCCGGACAAGTTGAGACCAGCCACGGATATTCGACATCTCTTTGAATGATCATAGTTCCGAGGGCTTGGCACGATCTCTTGTGCCGCTATTTAGACATGAAGATATCAAAGCGACAGATGGATTGACCAAGCAATAATTAACGTATCGATCAATGATCTGGTTTGAAACATGATGCGCCTAGGAGTAGGCTAAAGGACCGACATTTAACTTGCAAATCATCTTCTTATTTCTCTCGACATCTCAAATCTCCAGTTATGTCCCAAATCTCCAATTACATCCCATAGCCGTGCATTAAGCCCCAAATACTGTCCGGAGAAAGCCTAGTTGGCAATCTCAACCTGCTTCGCATTGCCGCCCTTTTGCCCAGTGTTCTCCTCTCCAATAGCTGATTCAACCCTAGCCAACTTGTCCTGGTCATCCAACTTTCCTTCAAAGACTTCTCGGATCTCCTCAAGCGTATGCCCCTTCGTTTCAGGGAACAATAACCAAATGATAACGAAAAGAACTGCAAGAATACAGCAGAAGACGATATAATATTTCCAAGTAATAGCCTTCATAGCAATCGGGTTCACCTGGTTGCCGACAATAAGACCAGTGAAAGATGAGATATACGTGATGGAAAGGCCACGGCCTCGGAGAGTATACGGAAAGATTTCGACGGGGTAGGCTTGGAGAAGCGGCGTCCAGGCGATATCGTAGAATAGATAGAAGATGAAGATGAACGCCACCACCGCACGGCCTGTCGACTCATCATGGCTGCTGACGAAATGCGCCGTAAGACCGGTCCAGATGATATAAGAGACAAGCATGCCACCCGTAGAGAGCAGAAACAAAGTCCGGCGCCCCAGTCGATCAACCATCATGGCTCCAAAGAAAGTCGAAGCGAGCCAATTGAAGATTTGAAGAAGTCCGTTGATGAGGGTCTGGTCCTTGACCTTGGTAATACCGATCGTGTTGAGCACAAGAACAAGATAGTAGCTGACGACTCCGACACCGTTCCATTGAGCAAACCAACCGACGATGGCAGCAATCAGCGTGCGCTTGCGGTTGGCTGGAGTGCGGAATAGCTCAGCCCATGAGACGGCAGAAATAGCGTCGGCTTCCTGAGTAAGCGCCAGTTCGATTTCTTGCATCTCGAATTCGACGAGGGGAGACTCTAGATCGCCGCCTGCGTGGAACTCGGCAAGGACTTTCCGAGCTTCCTCTTTGCGGCCTTTGGAAACAAGCCATCTGGGTAACTTACGTCAGCTTCTGTAAATTTGTAGATGGATGCTGCATTCTTACCTGGGGGATTCTGGCAAGAAGTAAATGCCCATGAGTTGGATGACAGGCAATGCACCCTGCAGGAGAGACGGAATTCGCCAGCTCCAAGTCGTGGGGTTCTTGAAGGTGCCATAGGTACACCAAGCCGCGAAAATAGAGCCAAAGTACTAAACATGACGTATACAATTAGCATTTAGCCCGATTCAAGATAGGATACAGACTTACGAAAAAGGTGTTATACAAGGCAGTTATTTTGCCTCGCTGCGTCGGGTATGCGAGCTCGGTAATGATGATAGGGCTAGGCTGGCCGATGAAGCTTGTAAAGAAACCTAGAAAGGCTCTTGCAATGATGAAGCTGTGTAGGTTCTGCGAAAGACCCTGTAGAGTGGCAAAGCCAATACATGTAACCAGGCCAATCAGGATAGGGAGCTTGCGTCCCCAGCGATCGCAGATATAGGCTACCACGAAGAGCGAGACGACTTTGCCGAGGGGATAAACAGAGTTCATGAGGCCGAGAAGCGCGCCCTCTGGACTACCAAAGAACTCACGCCATTGGGGCAGAGTTTGGAGGCCGTTCATCATTGATCCTGTGCCATGTCAGAGTTGTAATTGGAAACGTGAGGAGAAAGGATATATACCATCGTGACCGACAGAGGCGGAAGAGAATAGAGGAACCAAAAGGCATAGATTGAGCTTGATCAGATGTCAAGTCATGTACCATGGCCTTGGATTCTGAGGTAGGACCTATGTAGGAGAGTTGTGAGTATGTGAGGCGACGAATGGGAGGGGGAGATGGGGTGTTGTACTCGTGAGAGCTCCGATCCAACAGCCAGTTCGGCCTCTTTCTTTCCTGAAAAGACACCCATAATCTCAAGGCAGAGTGAAGGACACAAGAAGAAAACGGTAAGGCTGAAACTTCAGAGAGCCACAATAAGTTGATAAGTTGATGGGTTGAGGGAACGAAGAGGTCCAAAAGAGGGGATGATAAGCTCCTTTTAAAGCATTCGGATGCTCCCTAATCTAGACCCCGGATTTTCGTTCCCCGTAACCGAGGAAACTTGGTGACCCCGTGGGGAAGAAGATAAAGCATGGTTACATTTTGGCATGGAGCGAAGCCAGGGCTCGAGTCATGATCCTTTCGCGGAGTAGCGAAGCTGAATGCTTTTTTGGTGTCGGGGAGTAGCGGTATGTGGAGTATGCAGATTGGGGGAGTGATACTCCAACCCACCGAGTGCTACGTATTGATGACAGAGGAGATGAAGTATAAATAGCTCTTACTTCAACACACTTAGGCTTTAACTTATACCCTTTTTTGTTACAGCCTGTGATACCAATCATTCGTTCAATCCCTCTTTCACTGATCACCATGTCAAGCACATCAGATCGCATCCTTCGGGTTGGAATCATCGGCTGCGGAGAGATCTCTCAAGTCGCCCATATTCCCAACATCAACTTCCTCTCCCACAAGTTCCAGACGACCTATCTCTGCGATATCTCCCAGCAAGCTCTAGGCCACTGCATGAACAAAGTCCTGGGCGGTTCTCCTAAAACCACCACCAACCCTGGAGAACTCTGCTCCTCACCAGATGTCGACGTGGTCCTGATCGCTAACGCCGACGCATACCACGTTGATCATGGTATACTAGCTCTCAAGAACGACAAGTACTGCCTTATCGAGAAGCCAGCGGCTACTTGCTTCCGAGACATAGACAGACTAATTGAGGCGGAGAAGGTTTCAAAGGGCAAGGTGTTTGTTGGAACGATGCGCCGCTATGCTACTGCTTTCATTGACGCCGTGGAAGAGGTCGGGGGCATGGAAAAGATTCAGTATGCTAGAGTGAGGGATATCATCGGACCTAACTCTACCTTTGTCGAGCAGAACGGCACATTTCCTCAAAAGTTCAATGACTTCACTGAGGAAGATGGCCAGGACAGGAGCCGTCGAGAAGCTGATATCTTCGAGCAGGCTCTTGTCAAGGAGTTTGGAGTGCCGAGTACACCCCAATCGCAAAGAATGCTAAGAGTTCTAGGAGCGTAAGTAACTTTCACCTCACCATGCAACATCAACGCTAATTTGTGAATATAGTCTGGGAACCCACGATCTTTCAGCAATGCGCGAGATTCTCGGCATGCCCAAATCGGTCTCTGGCGCCGTACTGACCCTCCCCGGCATCTTCAGTGTACTATTCCAATACGACGACTTCCCCGTCACGTATGAATCAGGTCTCAGCGGCATACCACAGTTCGATGCACACATCGAGGTGTACTCGGCCAACAAGATCGTAAGAGTCAACTTCGACTCTCCTTACATCAAGGGCCTACCAGTGATTATGACAATTCGAGAGAAAATTGGTGAGGGGGGATTCCAAGAGAGGATCATCAGGAAGACGTATGAGGATCCGTATACATTGGAGATGCTAGATCTTTATGATTGCGTTGTTGGAGGGAAAGTGCCCAAGACAAGTGCGGTGGATGCTAGGAAAGATGTTGAGCTGTTCGAGATGATCTTGAAGGCTGGAGCTGATAGGTTTAAGTCTTAGACGGGGTTTTAGACTGCGCTTTAAGAATAAGTTACTATTTTATGCAGTAGGTTTACTAATGGACTTGAATAAAGACTGTTCTCGGCTGCCAAGCTATACATTCGTCATAGGGTTATGAACTCAGACAGATTTTTACAGCCAAGACTCAACCCCGCGCAACTCAACAAAATCACCACAACGTCAACGTTATTGTCGTGCTTAAGGTCATGCAAGCAATACCTATATTATCTCCCCTATCGGACTTTGTGACCTTGGATTGCGAGCTTCCCGGCTCCAGACACGATGACCCTCGAACCAAACGACCTCTCAGAGCCTTTGACAATTTTACACCGCCAACCTTTCTCTGGTTGCACCTGGAATCTGCGCTATGGATTACATATGCTCAACGCCTTTGGGAAGCTGATAGCCAGATCCTCCGAGCTGTTGTGGTACTTCTCTCTCTGGTCTTCTTTGTCTTGCCATGGTTCTTTCGCGGGTGGATAATCAGCGTCGATCGACTCAGATCAGCCACTAAAGGAGCTTTGGTTCACCAAATATTGCTTTTATCTGTGACCTTTCCTTTATTTTTATGGGAACTCATTTACGAAGTTCACTTCTGGGAAGGGACGCGCTGTCTTTGCTGTGTTGTTCTCCTAGTTGTGGCGGCTGCAACGGGAGTCATCAGAATGTCACGGTGGAACAACTTTCTCAGCAACAGGCCAGATAGGAGGCTATCTTCGATTACAGATGCAGTGTCTGTCATAAAATGAGGATACCCAACTGGCTTCGTAATCGTTCAGACAACCTCTACAGTCGCCCAGGCGAGGCCCTCTTCTTATCAATTGACAATGGTTCACGGTTTCAACTAGCAGAGAATCAAGTTTTTAAAGGAGTGTATTAGTTAGATTTTAATCGTTTCCGACAAAATCAATGCTCTAAATAAGTATAAACCAAGAATAGTAGCTCAATCAATGCCATAATAACTCATAAAGGACTGTTCCAAACAAAAATCGGCAAACACCATATCTATCTATGCACGCTAGTAATGCTCTATGCAACGCTATGCCAATGTAAAATTGTTACTGGAGAATGTGAAAATAAATGCCTCTTACTTGGGGCAGATGGGCTTCTTCTGAGAGCAAGCGTCCTTCTTGCAGCATCCCTTGAAGCCATTGGCGCAGACCTGGAAGAAACCGGTGCCAGGGCGGCAAGTACCATCAGAGCGAGCCTTGACCTTGAATGTCTGGGCGGGCTCGTAGGTGCCGGTCTTGTAGTCGGGGCACCAGGTGTTACCGCAGGCATCGCCCTTGCAGCAGCCGCGGAAGCCGTTGGAGCAGGATTGGAAGAAGCCGGTTCCGGGAGGGCAGACGGTAGGGTCATCGGAGCGCTTGGCGACGGTGTCGGGGCAGATGGGAGCGGAGCCGGAGCAGGCGTCGGACTTGCAGCAGCCTCGGAAGCCGTTTGAGCAGGACTGGAAGAATCCTGTGCCGGGGGCGCAGACAGTGGGATCGTCAGAACGCTTTGCGATGGTGTCAGGGCAGATGGGCTGAGATTGAGAGCAGGCATCAGACTTGCAGCATCCACGGAAACCGTTGGAGCAAGACTGGAAGAAGCCGGTTCCGGGAGGGCAGACGGTAGGATCGTCAGATCGCTTGGTGTTATCGGGGCAGACACCAGCGTTGCCAGTGCAAGCATCAGATTTGCAGCAGCCACGGAAGCCATTAGAGCAGACTTGGAAGAAGCCGGTACCAGGAGCACACTGTCCATCAGGGAGAGAAGCAGGAGCAGTCTCGGTGGTAGTCTCAGGCTTGGGCTTGGGGGCCTCGGGCTTGTTGTCGGGGCAGACCCCAGCGGTACCGGTACAAGCATCAGACTTGCAGCAGCCTCTGAAGCCGTTGGAACAAGACTGGAAGAAACCGGTACCGGGAGCGCAGACAGTTGGATCATCAGCGCGCTTGACCTTCTTGTCATCAGGGCAGACAGCGTCCTTGCCAGCACAGGCGTCGGACTTGCAGCATCCCTTGAAGCCATTGGAGCAGACCTGGAAGAAGCCAGTGCCAGGAGCACATTGAGCCTCGGGAAGAGAAGCGGGAGTAGTCTCAGGCTCCCAGTGCTCTACCTCCTCAGTCTCGGTAGGTTCAACAGGCTTGGTGATAAAGACAGGATCGCAAGTACCCTCGACGAAATCAGTGCACCACTTTATGGTACAAGGATCAACGGAGCAATAACCGCGGAAACCATTGTTCGCACAAGTGTAGAACTGTCCAACGCCTGAACACTCGGTTTGAGAGCGGGCGGTAGGTCCAGCAGAGACATAGCCAGCAACGGCAACAAGAGCAAAGATTGTAGAATGCATAATGTTATGAGATTGTCGAAAAGTTAAAACAAGTTTGTTTGGAAAAGTGACGAAGAAACTGTGACAGACGACTGAGAAGAAGCGAAGGTTTGTAAGGAAATAAGACCTGACAAAGGAAAATAAGGAAAAAGAGAAAAAGGAAAAAAAGTTGTTGTTTGGTTTGATGTTTTGTGATGTGATGATGAGAAGAAAGAAAGAAATCCATTTTGACGAGAATTCGTTGCTTTCTTATACAAGATTTGCGTACAAGTGAAGCTGTCTCAATGCAGTAAGTGTCTGCAAGCGTGCTCAGCTTAGTCTCCGACTCTCAGCGGAGGAGGCTGTGACGTCTCACAGCCCTCACCAGAATAAGCCGTCAGATCGGGCTCAGCCCCTCAGCCCCAAGATCACATTAGCCCTATTTTAAGCTTAAGGACTCGGTGCAAATTAGGAAAAGTGAGAGCTAAGTCTTTCTCCGCAGCAGAGGGTAACTGCGCCGTCTAGATGGTCTGGACTGGTCTTTACAGCCCTGTGTCGCTTTTAGTGGCATTTGGCTCGAGCTGTCGAAGCTATTGCCAACATTCCCATGGTTTGGTGGATGGTCGAGATGGGCAACCATTGGAGCAGTAGTTCTAGTAGCTTGTAGCTCACGATTTACTTGTTTTCGAGGGAGAGCTGTTCGGGTCTTCGGCATTTAGAATGGAAAGCCTCAGTGGATTAAGATTCAAGCTTATTGTCACTAAGCTCGACAATGTTTCCTCGGTTCAGCTCATTTGCCGGGTCTAAGGTTCTTCGGGGGCCATGGCGCAGCAGCTCAGATGGAGCTCTGTTACCTTGCAAGGACAGCTTACGCCGAGCATCCATCGGGCTGTCGGTCATACATACTGTTATGGTGCTTGTGCAACGGAAAATATCAGCTTACTACAGACAGGCAGAGTTTTTGGTGTCACGTACTAAGCCCTAGCATGGCAATAAGCGGTCAGTCAAAAGCACTCGCACTACGCCATGGCTTATTCCTCGAGGATGGTCATTGGAGCTGAGATGATGGTGCATCAGCTGGATTGAAGGATAGTTTACAGCTCAGGCTTGCCAGCGGCGGACATTGCCATACTGTGTTTTTCCCCGTCCCTTATGTTTTGAGGCGTATCGTAATTCAATGTCAGATTCTTCTATATGGCAGGTCCACTGCAGCTGAAGTCATACGTAATCGGCCACCAGAAGGCCACATTCCATTTACACGGAATTCTGGCTCTTCGATCCTTGGCTTCGGTCTTGACCCGACTCTACCATTGTTGGATCGTGTCTCTTCATACTGTGAGAAGTGTTAGCTTCAGAAAGCTGTGCTAGCATTCAACCCAACACTCGACCTGGCTACTAGTGGACGCCATTTTGCCAAGGGAAGCCATTATCTAATGGTGACACCTTCATCAAACCGCCCAATGGCCGGAGGTTTCCACAGGTCTCACTTTGGCTAACAGCTAAATTCACCAGTCAAGAAGGTTATTGGACATATTCGCTTAGACTAAACATGCCTAACAAGTTGGCATAATATCGAACGTGCCTCGAAGCACGGGATCTGTTGATTTGCACTGGTTGCTGGTACTCAACAATCAATCTATGCCCAACGATCCTAGAGCTGCAAAATCACAATAGATATTTTCTTATGGTAAACATCTCTGCTCATGTAACTAAAATCACTTTTAATGTATAAGACTAAGTATTTAACATGGTGAGATTGTTTGATCCTTCGCATGGACACGAGTTTGATAATCCAAGATTTGATCCAGAATAACAACGCATCCTTAAGAGCTGTAGGCGAACAAAATTAGCAATCCATAGCTCCTGCTAACTCCCAACTAATCTTAGATGTCGGATGTTTGAATGGTCTTAGTCAGGTCTTTTACATAACTGGGACTTCGCCTTCAAGAGAGGTTTGAGACAGGCATCATCCTGACAACCTGTCATCTGACGTGATCACGGTTGAAGTTGCCTCCCCACAAGCAATCCTTCGACCGAAATAGCTTGAGATATTTGTTTGACAATTATATAAAGAAAAATAAAGAAAAAGGTTTGATTATTATGGCAAAACCATAGGAAGAGGCAGAGTGATGATAATGAATGGCTTTTGAGTTACAGAACGGATTTTCAGAGCCTGAAAAGACACAATACGAAGATCACTTATAATTCCGGGGTCTCTCTAGGTCTTTTAATGTCAGCAATGACGTGGTATCAAGTAATATATGCTCTAAAAGTACATATTTGGATGCTTCTGCTCCATCTCCTTAGCCTTGCTTCCACCAGACTCCTTCTGAATCTGAATATCATTCCTCGGCATAACATCATCATCATCATCAGCAGCATCCTGCAACGTGATTGTTTCCGCCTGTTCATCTCCAGCATCATCTGGAAAGTCCACAGGCTCTGGCTCGGGTGGTGTGGCATGAAGTGGTCGTGTACTCTGGTCTTCCTCCATCAGATCGTCGTGCTGGGTTGGCGCGTGAGTCTGCTCTGATCTACTTCGATACCACGCTCTTATTTCATCCACATTTCGAAGAGGGAGACTATCCCATTCTCTTATACGGTCGTCTTTCCTTTGTGATGAAGACTTGAGTGAGATGTGATTGTTGTTGGGTTCATCGATAGAGTGCACGAGCCGAAAGAGAGCTTCTTCTGTCTCAGCAAGACGAGCTTCTAATCTTGTGATGAACCCAATTGGGAGGCCTCTAATATTTCTTCAGTATTTATAGTGGTCAATATGAGTAAGCATGGTAGTGGTACCTCTTGTTTTGTTCTGGATAATGGCAATTTGTAGGATCATTCGTGCACTGCAGACAATGCGGCCTTCACAAGAGCCATCAGCACGAGGATCTCTCCCCTGGGGACCTGAAACACGTACAACTGCCTATCACACTAGCGAGGACTCAATTTAGCAAAAAGCACTCACTTTTCCCCAGAATGGTGACTGGGGCATGAGATCTCACCTTGCGCTTCCGCTGCCGACAATGACTGCACGCTATCGGGTTCAACTGCCTCTCAGCCTCTTGCTCAACCGCCGTCTCATCATTCGCCATGTAAACAATTCACTTTCACAAGGACCAATCCTCGTGCAGGGTCTGTAAATCGATCGGGATTCTTCCCCAGAGTCGAAACGTCGCTCCACAGGCAGAATGACTTGTTCAACCCCGCCTCGGCCTTTTCTTTGTCCGGGCGCGACACTAGCACTTTTGCAGCTTCAGCTTACTCCTTCAAGCTTGGCAGTCCCCAGCATCGTCAATTCATCCAAGTTCCACAGTCTGAGTCTGATGCTTGGGATGTGATGTCAAGATGTCATCTCATCACTCACCGTATGACAATATCGAGACAGCATCTCACTCAACTCTGGGTCACTCAGAACCTCAAGGCCAGAAACGGAAACACTCGACTTCACAACCTGGACGCGAATATGGATTGATGCGTGATACAGGTGAACACGATGCCGCTCGATTTGTTGGAAGCGGTAGTGGAATACACTATATTCGTGCTGTTCACCTTCGTCTCGCCAAAAGATCTGCATCAAGAACCACAGAACCTGGGTCTTCAACGATAAACACGCTTATTCCCGGTGAGGACGACCAACTTCGTCAAGATGCCTCGATAAGAAGAAATCGAGAGCAGTTTCTTTGGAAAGATGATGAAGTCTGTGGAAGTACCATGGCCGAAGTAGAGACCTTTGAAGACTTTGTCGAGTGGTCCAAGACTTATTTCGAGGCATGGCATCCTGTTCTCCCATTCCTCCACGGTCCTCATGTTCTAGGCTTGTTTGAAGAGGCTGCTAAGAATGGACCGCTATTGATTGACCCAATCGATACGGTCATCTTGAAGTCTGTTCTTTCTATATCACTGGCGGATAGTCGACAGTCCACTCCTTTCAAAAAGCCGGTTCCAAAAGTATATCTCTTCAAGAGTGTCGACGATGCGTTGGCGAGCTCACAGTTCGCTTTGAGCCAGCCTGCGTCAATCCGCTCAACTCAGGCAGCTTTGGCTATCCAGCTGTTCCTGACTTCTATGCTTTGTCTCAACGCCGCATCGAGATTAGGTGGACTCATCGTCAGAACGGCGTTTCACATGGGCCTTCATCGATGTCCAGCGCGATATCCCTTCTTCACAGACAAGGAGGTTTCCCTTCGGCGCAGGGTCTTCTGGTGTATATATATCCTAGAGAGGCTTCTCTGCCAGTCTCTCGGACTACCTCTCGATATACGAGATGACGACCTGGATGTCTGCTATCCCGGCGAAGAGCGCCATACGATAACGAACAGGGAAGAAAATCCGGAAAGACTGCAGCTCCTTACGTTTGTGGCTAAGCATGCTCGGATACGTGGACTTATTCTTGAGCTCAGGAACAAGTCTATGCTTCAACGGCAGGATACCGCAGATCGAGCAGCGTTCGTCCAAGCTGAGCTGTCAAAATGGTTTAATGAAATTCAGGACGCAGTAGAAGAAGACGATCTGGCTGATGCAAGCTCAACTACTCCAGCAATATCTGAACATCACAAGGTTATGCTTTTGGTGCTGAAACACGAATCGGCAATATGCTTAAACCGGCCTGGCCTTGCCTCCGAACATCCTTCTTCATCATACTCATCCGCCTTTCAGGCATGCATATCAGCTGCCAAGTCTATCTTGATAATCCTCAAAAAACATCGAAACCGCAACCAGTTATCTGCAGACTCAACTAGTGCAAAGTCTCAAACACCCTTGCTGTGGCCATCCTTCACGTGGTCTGTATGGATCAGTGCATTTGTTCTTATTCATGCTGCCTTTGAAAAGCAGGTTCATCTAGGTAGTGCATTGAGGTTTGAACTTCCATTCCCTCGTGTCGACGCTTACTGACAATTCCTTAGACACGTTGCTGCGGCGAAAGACATCCTTGGTCATCTGGCTGCACGAGATACCTCGTGGCCAGAATACTGTCTTGGGGCCATAGATGAACTCACCTCCACGGTACAAGAGCTTTCACAAGAGCGGCCCACGATGATTGAATCTCCGGTAGATGCCATCATCACAACACGCAGTTTCTCCCCTAGCGTCGGAAGTCAAGTACGGAGTGGTGAGAACACCACGCCCACAAGACTTCCACGAACACAACATGCTCAGTCTCAAGGCACTGAGACAAGAGACAGCCCAAACTCTATGCCTCAAAACACCTCTTCCAATACCCAAGCATTCCAAGGACTGTCTTCCACTCAACCATTCAGACCGCAACAGAATAAACGGCCACGGACGATGTATCATTCTACGGGTATCCTATCCCAAGACATACCCTACTCCCAATCCCAGAATCCTCAAGCACCATATTCGAATGACTTTCTATCTACATCAAACACGTCACTGAATCCAGAAGGGCCACCCGGTATGAATTTGGATAACATTCCGCTAGAAGGCCATGAATCAATGATGTGGTATGATCAGCTCTTTGCGAGTTCATTCAGCGCCATCGACAATCCCTTTCTTGTAAATGCGGAGTTTGACGCTTCTGTCGATCCAACTTGGAATTATTTACGATAGTGTCACTAATATTAATACATTAAACCTCCTTCACTTGAGTGACCTTCCTGTCCTTGTTTAATACCACTTGTACATGCTTCTTCTCACTTGACCCTTCGCCTTTGAAGAAGTTCTCGTTCTGAAGACGTTCGAGGAATAGTTCGTAAGCAGGCATATACCCCTTCACAAATTTGATCACCTGCTCATCTGTCATGCCTGGCTTGTGCTGCCTCAACGCTCTCTCCTGGCCCAGCCGCCACTCGTAGACCTGGACGAGTTTATCTGTGCTCAGATGTAGAAATCCATCAAAGTGCTGTGGTCCAGAGAAAGTGTCGCAGTATCTTCTCAGGTTCTCATTGATGAGCTGGAGATGGCTTAGATCATGGCTCGCCAGCGTGTTCGTAAGAGCCCATTCTTCAGACTGCTGTGCCTCTGAAGCTTTAGCTCTCTCCCACTTTCTCTTGACTTCCTCGTCACTCAAAGGCTTGAAGCCAAGTGCCCAACCTTCAAATATCAGAACATCTAGGCCTTCGTCCAGCGAAACTTCTTCCCATTTCTCAACGGGAACCCTTCCACCCTGACCACTGTGAAGGCTCTTGTCAAAGGCTGGCCATTTAACAACCTTCTTATCAGTCTCAACGCGGCCAAGTACCTGTTCGAAGAAGTTCTTCGCTAGAACTTCGTCATGAGTTCCAGGTTGACCACGGGTTTGGAGAAGACCATTATCTGGGTTCGCTTCTCGGAGAGCGACAAGTTCCGGGTGGTCATGATAGAGATCATCAAGGGATAGCATGCGGGTCTTGAGATGGTGTTGATTCGTGAGGGCCTGTGAAAGAGCTGCAGCCCATGTCGATTTACCACTGCCTTGAAGACCAGAGAGGCCTAGAACGAATGGTTTTGAGGAGCTCTTCTGATGAGCTTGGATAGCAGGGACAAAGATGTCCAGCACCGTTTCAATGGCTTTGGGATCGATCATGGCTAGTGATATGGAAGATATTGGGTCCTTCGTGAGTAAAGTCACAAGGGAAGAGTAAGTGATCGATAAAAATATTATGCCTCAAGATATCATTAAAGACGAAGAGAAAAAAAGTCCCTCATATCAACTTTGACACTCTTCTAAGTGATGGCCAATCATTCCCCGCATCATTAGACACTATTCACGGAAAAGCGTCAATCGCAACGGACTTGAAGCGCCGCTCACTTCCTTTCCCGGAGCGGGCAAGGCAATGTTGCAGCGGACATTTCAAAGTCCGTCCACCTCCACACAAAGCCAAGACTAACATACTCATCAATCCGACATCTTTGGTATATATAAGTATAACTAACATATCTGCCTTATACAACTCATCAACATCTTCAGCCCTTATCACAAATCTTTACAAACTCATCATGTCTCCCTCCGCAGTCACCGCCAAGAAGTCCTACAGCATCGCCTCCATCCCCGCTGATGGAATCGGTCCTGAGGTCATTTCCGCTGGTATCGAGGCTTTGAACGCTCTGGCCGATACTCTCCAGACTTTTGATCTTGACTTTACTCATTATGATTGGAGTTCGGATACTTACAAGAAGACTGGGAAGTATATTCCTGACGGTGGTCTTGAGCAGTTGAAGAAGCACGATGCTATCCTCTTTGGCGCCGTTGGAGCTCCTGGTCAGTCTTACCAAATGTTCTGATGAAACTTGGTACTCATTCTACTAGATGTCCCCGATCATATCTCCCTCTGGGGTCTTCGTCTGGCAATCTGCCAGCCATTCCAGCAATATGCCAACGTACGCCCAACACGCATCATGCGCGGTACACAATCTCCCCTACGCAACTGCAAAACTGGTGATCTCGACTGGGTCATCATCCGCGAGAACAGCGAAGGTGAATATGCCGGCCATGGCGGTCGCTCACACCGTGGCCACCCCTGGGAAGTTGCTACAGAAGTCGCCATCTTTACTCGTCACGCTGTTAGCAGACTGATTCGGTTCTCGTTTGAGGTTGCGCAGAAGAGACCCAGGAAGCATTTGACCGTTGTTACCAAGAGTAATGCGCAAAGGAACGGTATGGTTCTTTGGGACGAGGTTGCAGCAGAGGTTGCCAAGGACTTTCCCGATGTTACTGTTGAAAAGATGTTGGTTGATGCTATGACTACGAAGATGGTTCTTAAGCCTGAGAGTATTGATACCATTGTTGCTAGCAACTTGGTAAGTCTCTTTCTTCTCCCTTGGAAGCCAATGAACTAACACACTCTAGCACGCTGATATTCTCTCTGACTTGGCCGCTGCCCTCGCTGGTTCAATTGGCATCGCACCAACAAGCAATCTAGATCCCAGCCGCGAGAACCCATCCATGTTTGAGCCCATCCACGGTTCGGCATTCGACATCACCGGCAAGGGCGTCGCCAATCCAGTAGCTACCTTCTGGACAGCAGCTGAGATGCTGGCATGGCTGGGTGAAGAAGAGGCTTCGACCAAGTTGATGGAGTGTGTTGAGAATGTCACTGCTTCAGGCGTTCTCACACAAGATCTCGGTGGAAAGGCGACTACTAAGGAGGTCACGGCTGCGGTAGTGGCAGAGATCAAGAAGAGTCTTGGCAAGATTTCGAAGTGAGTGTTAGTAACGAGATGAGATGATAGAAAATGAACAGTTCGCGTTTTTTTATGCATGTCTTTATTGCCATAAACCTCTCTGTGTTGTAAAGTTCCATGGTTGTTGTCTGCTGTGCGTCACTCAAGCAAGCGCCTTTGTTCTATACTTTGTTCTTTATAATCACACATAAAGTGGCGACTTTTGGAATATTGAACCTATTGGAACGAGCTTCTTTGATCAGATTGCATCGAACATGCCCATATTGCATCGGCAGGTTAGGAATTATCGAGGAGTCACATAGTCACGGGCAACTATATAATTAAAGAATCATCGGTCGCGGAGAACCCAGTAGCCAAACAGCCTCGAAAAGAAGACAGAGCCATAACTTTTTATTCCCTCGTATATCGCGACAAGGTATTTCACTCTATATCTACCTGAAACGTCAAATATCGCCATATCTTGAGCAAAGGCGATTAAGCAAATGAGCCTTTGCTACCGCCCCCGCCGGAGGCTTCCTCCCACCTCTTATCCATCGCGACTGTAATACCAGCCCTCAGCTGGCACAGGATCAGGTTTCTACGGAGACCAAGTTAGCAGTTCAGCCAAAGCTCTGTACTTTCAAGACGCTGCGGTCTGCAAAAACGACACCGATCTCTTACCTTGCTCAACTATGAGGGCGACGAGGACCGCAGCCTCAATCGTCACCGTATAGATCATCGTCGGAATCGACCAATATCGGGTGATCATAATGATCTCCATAATGTCGTTGGCGATTCCTGCCCTGCTGTCGGGGAGGATCGTGCGCCGCAAGACGAGCGGCTTCGCGATTCATCGCAAGGAGCCGATTCTGGTTCGTGCGCCTGGCTTCAGCGTCTACCGCGTTGTATGGCTCTTCACGGCGAGGCCTGTCTATCTGGGGGGCATCCATTGGGTTGTAAGGCCGACGCAGCGCATTCATCTGAGGCCTGTCTATTTGAGGGGCATCCATCGGGTTATAAGGTCGACGTGGTACGTTCATCTGAGGCGCATCTCTCTCGTTGTACAAGCGGCCTTCGTAGTACCTCTCATATGGACCCGTTCCTGGCCTATAAGTCCTGGGAATAACACGTTCATCTCTTGGAGGTGGTCTCTCAACGGGCTGCTCGTTGATATGCATGCGACCCATACCAGGTACGAGAGCTCCCATGGGAGCATGGCCATCGTCGCGCTGGCGATCCATTCGCATTCCAGGCGCATATCCTCCCTGTACACCGAAGTTTTGGTTAGCTGCTCCCATATATTCCGGGTACACCATGTTCCCAGGCGCCATGATTGGGTGAGGGGCAACGGGTGGACGACCTACCATTTGAGGTTCACCTCTGCGTGGCTCCATTGGCATACCAGCTTGTCGTTCCACTCGTCTGCGATTTCGTTCACGTTCATATGCATCTTGATTCCTCTCATCGTGATGGCGTCTTTCTCCGTGATGGTGGCGATGTCTTTCTCCATGATGATGTCTTTCTCCGTGGTGATGTCTTTCTCCGTGAAGATTTCTTTCCCCATGACGATGTCCTTCACCATGATTAGGTTCCCTCCCGTGATACGCCCCACGACGGCCTTGCTCTTGTGGTTGCTGCGCTTCCTCAGGAACGGGCAACACCAAAGGTCGAATGACCCTCCGCGGTCCCCCTACTATAGGCGGAACACGGTTCTCCTCACCCTGCACAGGTCGTAGCTGTGGAATTCTCGCAGGCCCATCAGCCTCATCTGCTGCCGCCTCCTCAGTAGGGTGTAGGCGACGACGATACTGCTCTGGCTTCAAACCTGGACGGTCCCTCATGGGTACCATAAGGTTAAAGCCTCCATATGTGGGACAGCCGCAGGTACGCCATATTTCACCGCAAATGAAACAGAACTCTTGGCCGCATACGCATGTCATGTGGTTGCACGCCTCGGAGAGCTCGATCATCCTGCCGCACCCGGGGCAGTTAACAGTATGGTTCGCGTCCATGGTGGCCCAGACATCTTCCTCGGCGGCTCCCTCTCGGCAAGGCTGGCCTGGATGAGCTTGCTCACCGCAGCCGCGACATGTGTGCGTATCACACAACAAACAGTGCCCGTTACGATCAGGTGGGATGAATGCTGCGCAGTTGCCGGCGTGGCAGTATAGTCTATCGTGGAGCGGCACATTGGCTTCCTCTTGCACCTGGCGGAAAATGTGAATCAAAGCAGGGGCGCGTGCAAGCGCAACACCCGCCTCAGTGATAGGCTCGCAACATCTCGGCGGAAACCCTTCTGAAGAACTAAGACCGAGTCGAAGGAGTTCACGGTAGCAGGGGTAGCAGTAGTGGTGGCCGCAATGAGCTCTGAAGTGAGCGTCCTCGGTACAGACAAGGCACATTTCTCCGTTCCCTTGTTCAGGTACAGGATCATTTGCAGCGTCGCGAAAAGCAATCCTCCTCTCGATTCGATCCAGCACGATTCGATGGTTGGTATCGCGAACTTCGGGGCTGCGTAGTCGCTCAAAGGCCAGCTCTTCGTCGGTAATAATCCTACTGACCAGGAAAGCCTGCTCATCATCATCTGCAAGATCTAGAGCAACGGCAATTAACCTGGCCAGGTATGGCTCCGAGAAGCTTTCCTCAGGGGGTAGGAGCTCGTGGCGGATCAACAAGTCAAGAAAGTCCGGGTGGACGCGGTCGAGGGCGTCAGAAACATCCGACATGCTGGGCAGACTCTCGACAGAGGCAAGGAGTGTACAGAAATGTTGCAGGTGTCGCAACTAGATCTGTTAGTAGCTGCAAAGGTATATAGGTGTCGAGTCGCTGAGGTTCCTCTAAGCAGGTGTAAGCAGCGAAAAAAGTAGTAGTATATGTTATAAGGTTATAGACTACTTAGATGTCAAATCCAGATTTGTGCGAGATATTGGAAGGTTTGTGAGAAAGCTTATAAGGTAGAAAGGGTTAGGCGAAGCTTTTATCTTTGAGGTGAGAGGCAGTTCAAAGCACGCTTTAACTGACTGTTCACGTATCGCCATCAGTGACCAGAGTCAATCGCAAGGCAGTTTCAGTGCCTGGGTGAACAACAAGGCCATAGACTTCCAGTGACCTAGTCCACAAGGACATGTTCGCTGGTGACAAGGTCGACAGTACTCATGTACCCAGCGACAGAGCCAGTACCTCACAAGGGATGATAGGGAATACAAAGCGTGTTAGATGCTCAAAAATGCTGGTATTTGGTAGCTGACAGGTAATCAGATCGATATCAAGCCTTTCTGTACCCCAAAAAATCCATCCGTGGCCATGCGCCGTCACTTCGCTCCTCTCGACTATTAGCCGCTGCCCACAGGGTATCCGGGCATCCATTCATCGACGACGTAAAACACTATGACTCCCTGAAAAAAGATGGTAGGTAAATCATGAAAAAGATGTCCAAGAGTCAAGAGTTTGGTATCCAACCCAGCCAAGTCCCCAGTACCGACAATCCATCCGTGGCCCCAAACTCAAGGGACGATTTGAGTTGATGTGATGGGCAACAAACAAAGAAACAGAATCCATATAAAATGACAATGAAATCATCAATGACCATGACAATAACGTGTAAACCCCACTAACTCCTCCTCGTCATGAACTCCGTCGCTGATTCCTTATGTGACGTCCAGGCAAAAGACACGCAATATAGACAAACAATTTGGCGACGTGGAGCCTAGTAGCTAAAGTCGACATTGGCCATGGCCATCGGCGGTGGACCCTTGTTCTGGTCATTGTTGTTGTTACTGGGCGATGAACCGTTGTTGTTATTGTTCTGATTCACAGTGATTGATGATGCGTCACCGTCGCCCAGAGTTGTGTCTGCGCTTGATGCAGTCGTCGTTGTTTGCAGCTCGTGGCCTGCAGGTGGTTGAGCGCTCGGTGACCAACCATCGTTGAGCATCTGTTGGAAACTCCAGCTCGGTTCGAATGACTTGCTGTTCCATGCGTGGTTCACTCGTTCGTACATCTCGTCGATCTGTTCCAGGCTGATCTTGCTTGTTTCGTACACATTACACCACACAAAGAAGACGGCCAGAATGCAAAAGGCACCCCATATGAAGAAAATCTTTGGTCCAAAGGAGGCGTTGCCTGGCCCTGATCCAACCAAGAAAGGCACACTGTAGCCAATGCCAAAATTGAGAAGCCAGTTTGACGCTGTCGAAACCGACATAGCCTTTGCGCGGACTTTGAGGGGATAAATCTCTGATGTTACGACCCACACTACGGGTCCCCAAGAAGCAGCGAAGAAAAAGATGTTGATAGCACAGAAGGTGATGAGAATAGTCTGCGATGCTTTCTCGTAACTTTGGCCTGTCGCAGTATCAAAAGACGCCATAAGAAGTTGGCAACCGGCCATTCCAATGGCTCCAATCATCAAAAGCTTCCGTCGACCCCAACGTTCGATAACCAACAGGCCTGGTATTGTCGAGACAACGTTGATGACGTTGATAATAAGCGATTTAGTGTATGGACTCTCGACGCCGGCACCGTCAAAGAAGGATGTGCTGTAGTACATTATGAAGTTGATACCGGTGAGCTGTTGAAGCATCTGAAGACCGCAGCCAGTAAATGTTCGTCGACCTAGGTGTGGCGAACCTATAAAGATGTCTTTATAACTGTCCGGTCCTAATGTTAATTCATACCGGTGATTTGCTATCATTTCCTGCAGTTCGTCAACGAGCGCTGGATGTGTAATGTCTAGTCGTCGAAGCCGACTGAGTGAAAGACCGGCTTCGTCATGAAGGTTCTTTTTGACAAGGAAACGAGGTGTTTCCGGCAGTAATAATAAGCCGCCGGTGAGAATAGCAGCTGGCACAAGCTGAAGGCCAAGAGGGATTCGATAAGCGGAGGAGTCTTTGAGTTTAGAGGCGAGAATGTTGACTACAGAAGCGGAGAAGAGGCCAATTGTGATCGATAGTTGATATGCGCAGACGAGAGTACCTCTGATCCATTTTGGTGCCATTTCAGACTGATACAATGGAACGAGGACAGAGATAAGGCCGACGCCAATGCCAGCGAAGAATCTAGTGACGTTATTAACGATATGATCTTCCATATAATGGATGAGGTGCACATACCTCCCCACCAGTAACATATCCATGTTGTTAGCGCAGACTTGGAAGATGGCGCCGACGCAGAAAATGCCCACGGCCAAAAGAAGAGTTTTGCGACGGCCTAGAGAATCGCCAGTAGGTGCAGCGAGGAGAGAACCGAGGGCAGTGCCAGCGCTGAGGATGGCGACGATGATGGATGAGTCTTTTGTACAAATGTCGATGGCGCCCTTTTCGTCGTAGCAATTTGTGTGTTTTCCGAATTGTTCCTTGAACTCTGTCATGGCAAGGATGCCGTTGATGGCTCTGCAAAGAGATATGGTTAGTTTCTGGCTGTCAAAATGTATGTGACGCGATGAAATGGGCTGGCTGCTGGTATGGACAAGTCGGTTTTCGGGGAATCGAGTCGGGGTTTCTCGTGGGAGGTTTGTCGAGACGAGTCACTGTTGTTCCAGATATCGCTCTTGTTTCGCTTCCTTCCAGCCCTTCCTCTGGCGATGTTGCTTTGCGTTCTTTTGAGATATATGTGATGATGGCCTCGTCATTTATGTCACACGAGTCCGCCGCAGTCGTCGCATCGTCAAATCGAATAAAGAATCGTCGATAGGCCCCAGAAGCATCTCCCTCGGCATTGATAACGTCGTCGGTGCAGCGTGTTCGTCCACCGTATATCGTAGCCATCCATATTCGCAGGTATTTAAAGTCAAAAGAAAACGGTGGTCAGTCTTACCCAGTATCGTAGCCGAACAGCAACCCGCCAGAGGCAACGAAGAGACCGACCATGATGGCCGGCGCCGACGAGCCCGCGACATTGTCGGGTTTCTGCCAGCCCATGGCAATGGCCATGGTGTCGGGTGTTGAAGTCGTCAATCCAGGGTCAGAGGTATCAAGAGCGAAAGGCTCCGGGTCGGCGAGATTTTGGTGGAGGTTGAAGGGTTGAGAAGATCAACGGGGGGACATTGGGCGATTCCGTGTGGGTAATATCTGGATGGGACTGGCCACTGGTCGACCTTCTAGCCCGGCCGTTGAAGTGCTAGTCCTCGCACTGGGTACGGGACACCTTTTTGGTGCTGTAATGGTCAAAGTCAATGCGTCCGGATTCGCTAGGCATTAAAGGGAGAGGGTAGAGCACGTGTTATATAAGCAAATGTGAGAAGGTAAAGAAACAGAATAGCTGATGGCAAGTTTTAGTCTTGATGCTCAAGGCGTCTCTTCCATAATCTCAGAAGAGACTCAAGACTCAAAAGGAAGACCACAGAGAGGGGCAGACATGAATGGCGAGAGACTCCCATCTCCAGACAAGGAGGCAAAAGCAGGAATGATCATCACTCCAAGGCCTGACCATTCCTCATCCAGTCAAGCTCCAGCATCGGCTCCCTGACCTGCAGCCACTGGAACCTCGTCAAGCCATCCTAGTGGGTTCTTTTCACTGGAACGAGCGTAGACTGGCTGAGCTAAGCGAGTGTACAGTGCGATTCCCCTCAAAATCAATCAACCGAAACTCTCTCTCGATGGAGGAGGCCAAAGGATCCATGAAAAAAGACGTCGCTGGTGTCATTACACAGGCATCACGGTTCAGGACATTATTCTCACCTTGCACAGCACGCGCAGCAATCCAAGCACTGCCCTCGAGCTTGTCTTGAGTTCCCCGAATCTGAAACTGAGTCACACTGACACGGTCCCTGTCTGTCCAAGCAAGACCTGAGAGAGAAACAGGGGAGCTTCTCTCTTTTTTTTTCAGCTTATAAATGACCAAGCCATAGTTTCATGTAGTACACAAGCTAGAAATGCAAGAAAATCAGGAAATTCGTATACAGAGTTAATGTGGCTGTGGGTAGGACCGAACTCCTTATGAGGATTCTATGATTGGGAATTTAACTTGACATATCACAGACCTTTGAGAAAGGGGGGGCATTGTTAATATTGTTGTCACAAAGACGGGATGATAGGTCTTGGGGAACAAAGAAGCTGTCTCGTCATTTTTCGGGCCCCGAGGACACTCCGCTGTTAGCTGCATTCATGCATCTCAGAGTCAAGGGTGATGAGTCTCGGTAATATTCCGCTGTGAGAACATGGCATGAACTGGTATTCCGAATATTCGGATTCAAAATCAGGTCGTTTTCATGCAAGCCATTAGGGATGCTTTCCAACCTCTCAATAAACACCGTTGTTGATAGAGTTGTTAATAGTGTTTAGTTATGCTCGAACCATCAGCAGTCAACTCCACCATAAACTCGTTCAGGATGATCGGATGAACACTGCAGCAGCTCGTTCACTTGCCGCCAAGAGCAGAGCACAGTCAGAACAAACTGTCTTCCGCACGCACGGGCAGCCTCCAACCATCAACAGCGCCGCCGCCATGCAGCGCTTACCCCGGCCTAGCACCGCGTTCCCTTTTCTCCCCCAGACAGTAGAGACAAGTCCCATACCCAATTCTAACTGCAGGATCAGTACTTTTGTACAACGTGCAAAGTCGCACAGTCTCCAGTTTCCCCCAGACAAATCACCCCGGGGTTTTAGTCCGGGCTCGGTACTGGATACTTGACGAACGAGACCAACCCTTGTAGGCAAAGAGCCAAGTCAAGTCAAGTTCATGACTCTAGACAAAGAATGGGGGATACGACAAGCGAGTTTTTGTCTTT